AAACGAGTGTTACATCATCAGAAAAAAAATGTGGTCAGTTTTCCTTCAAAGATGTTGTCTCCAAAGTTGTTATACGTGAGCTTTGATTTTCTTTTAGCCAGATAAACGTCTAGCCTCTCAAATATTAATAATCATAAATCACAGTCAATTGTGTTATAAATTAGTTATTTGGAAGGACGATTTATATAAACATCTGATTATTTCAGATGTGGCACAAGCAAATACTGACAAGTGGACGCCCCAGGAGTTGGCATCCGTCGGGGAACTATTGTTGGACATATCCATACAGTTAACTAAAAAGTRAGGTGTACCGAAAAAATGTGTTCGAACATGCATTGCAGTGGATTAATGTAATTATAATAATTACGCTTACAAATTACAGTTATGGACTTTCGTACGAAGAAGTAGAGAAAGGATTGCCTCAGATAGATACTTCGAAAACTTTGATCAGAGAGGTATGTCCGGCTTTCTTGTCCAACGTCGARTGCAGACCGGGCAAGTACAGAAGATATGATGGTCTGTGTAACAATGTCAAGCATCCGACATGGGGCGGTGCCAATACGCCTTTTTCCAGGTTGGTCGGACCGTTATTTTCTGACGGCATTAGTGCACCAAAAGTAAGCAGCCTCAACGATCGAGAACTACCTTTAGCCAGAGTGGTCTCCAGAACGATGCATCCCGACGAGGGGTACCACGAACACGCGGCTACTATGTTGTTAGTTGCATTTGGTCAATTTATGGACCACGATTTCACACTTATGGGAACGCCTGCCGGTAAGTCTTGCTTGGCTTACCATATAATTAATAATAATTTTAGGTTTKTTTTTAAAATTATATTAAATTTGAGTACAACCTGATTAGGCATATCTTAAGTATATCGTATAATACTTAACAACAAGGACAACATTTTTTTTTTAAATAATGTTATAATAAATAGCCAAATTTGAACGAAAACTGTGTTTTTACAGACCCAATAACCAAGAATGAACCAGAAGAATGCTGCAGTCGACCTCCAAATTTAAAAAATCCTTACTGCAACGAAATACCTGTTCCTGATGATGATTACTTTTATAGTAAATTCAATGTTAAATGTATAGATTTCGTAAGAGCTTTTCCATCAGTTAGACCAGGATGTCGCTTAGGTAAGAGGGATTGTTTACAGTTTTACTTGTGCAGTACATATAAATAGCACATCAAGTAGGTATATTTATATATAGTYAGGCAGTAAAAAATTGAATAATTTAATCTTTCGTAGTACTTTTTCTACAGGTACCTACTAAAAAATAATAAAAGCTATACATTTTTTTGGTTTGTATAGAATCTAACATAATATTTGATTAGTCAAATAATAAATAAGCGCGACGGTAATTAGGACATTTAACATTTTAATTCATTATGCTTATTGAATTCTACTGAGTTATTATGTTTTATTATTTCTGCATAAAATAAATGGTTAATCATACTTAAACAATTACCAAATTTAAAAATATATTTTGTGATTTTTTAGGTTCAAGAGTACCGTTCAACACGTTGACAGGAGTAATAGACGCGAATACAGTTTACGGTGTGACAGAAGATTACGCTAGGTATAGATATTTTTCACAAATTTTTTAGGATTTTGAAATAAACSTTAMACTTTTTTTTTTTTTAATTTTWATTTATTCATTTATTAAATTAAAACCTTATCCTGGAGGAGAAAATGTGTCTGTCTATACCAAAAAATTAAATATATCTTGATTTAATTTAACTATAGTTTTATTTAAATTTTGAATATTTAGGTACGACTCGTAATAATAGGTATTAGGTATAAGTTTATGACTTATAAYAATATAGATTTTTTCCAAAAGAGTTAATTTGTTATAAATTTAAAATATTATTATAAATTGTGAAAAGTTAAACTATTTAAATTCTAAAAAGATTTTAAAACAAATAACTAATAAGTGTATTAAGCGGAAATCTCAATCAACACCTAAATAATAATATAATATATAAATACTAGACAAAATTGCTTATTCATAAAAAAAAAAAAGATTAAACTATGAAAAATATACAGAATAAAAATAAAAATATGAAGTTTTTATAAAAATAGATAAGTTAATGAATAATTTATACATACTTTTAACTACTTTTATTGTTTAAAAAGACGATTTATCCTATAGAGGAATCCGAAGAATAAAGATAAGGACCATAGAAAAATTTAATTTAATAAAACAATAAAAATATTATCCAACATTTTAAGACAAAGTTTAATTCGTTTGTACTTCATAAGTTATACCCTAAAAAAGTATAAGCTATTATTATTAAATAATTTATAACCATCTTTTTTTTTTATATATAGACATTTAAGAACTGGCTATGCTGGTTTACTTCGCATGAACCCTGCGTTTATGGATTACGGACTAAAAGATTTGTTGCCTTTGAGACTTAAAGATCCCGACGAAGGATGTACTAGACTAAATCGTTCACAGTATTGTTTTGATGCCGGTATTTTAAATTATATTTATATTTACTGCATATAATTATACCTATATATTTTATTTATTTGCAGGAGAAGTTCGAGTAAATGAACAACTCGTACTTGCTACTATGCATACTATATGGGCAAGAGAACATAATAGAATAGCGAAAGAATTTGGTAAAATCAATCCACATTGGGATGATGAAATTCTTTTCCAAGAAGCAAGGCGGATCGTTATAGCAGAAATTCAGCACATAGCTTATAACGAGTTTTTGCCAACATTGCTTGGGAAAGGAGTGATGGAAAAATTTGGACTGCTATTACAAAAAGAAGTAATACAAACAGTTTATAATGTATTATGATACATGATTTTCACTAAAATMACGATGGATTATCATATTAAAGTACTGTACACATAATAAAAATAATATATTTTAAATGAAACTGTAAGCGTTAATATATTTAATATCCCTTAAAAACTTAAAATTTGATCAAA